GTTAATTTTTCGACATTCATCTCCCCAGTGGTTTTTCTTTCCGCAAAATATACAAGGGTATATTGGTGAACGTCTCCCCCCTTCAATTTTGTTTTTATCTTTTTCCTTCTTATTTTTTACTTCAACATTAGCAAGAGTTCTATTTAACTCTTTTTCTCTATTTTTGTTTGAATTTTTTGGTTCACTTCTATTTCCACTTTTTTCAGGTATTTTTCCATGAATTGAAAGGACTATTTCTTCCTTTTCAATCACTTCCCTGAGTGCTTTTCGAAATGCTTCAGTGTTCCAATTTATATTCATTGTTTTTGCTAATGCCTTCTTTGTTTGCATTTCTCTTAAAATTGGGATTGTAAGCTTTTTTTCTAAGCTCATCCAAACTCCTTGACCATTTATATTTTGATCATTGTTTTCTAAGAGTCTGCATATCCTTTCAAGTTCTATTGCAAACTTTCTACAATCTTGAAAATTTTGGCACACAGCTAAATTTTCAAGTTGTGAATGTAGATTTCTCGTATAGTCTTCTTCATTGCCATATTTCTGTTTAAGCAATTCTATGGCTATATCGTAATCAGTTAATTTTAAGCCTGCTATTAACTGTTTTGCTTCTCCAATAACACACTGCTTGAGTACAGCATGTTTAACTTCATCGTTTCCTTCAGCTTCATGAACTGTAGCATTATAGATTTGCCACCATTCAGGCCAATCTATATGCCTTCCTGAGAATTTCGAGAGTTCTTGTCTCGGTGGTTTAAAGCTAAAACCAAACGACTTTTGGCCGTTGGTATTATTCATCGTCAGATTCTTCTCTTTCCTTTCTTCTCTCCTTCTAATTAATTTTAATTTCCTTTCTGATTCTTTTAATTTTCTAAGCCTTTTTCCAGCTTCATTTAATGTATCATCAATTTTATATAGATTAGTCGCTTCATCATAAGCAGCTTCATTTAGTGGTTTTTCAATTTGAGTACTTCTTTGTATTAGAGATGACCATTTATTATTTGCCTCTTTTAAATCATTATAGGCGTCCGTCATCTCTTCTATGTCATTATTTAACAAATCCAGTGTTTCACAAACTTCTAATAGGTAGTCTGGATTTTCTTCTTCCTCCGGTTCTTTTGGAACCGGCTGGTCCAAAATTATCTGTATACTTTCAGCCGCTCTTTTTGTAGCGGATTTTAAGGGCTTACTCATTTTTATTTTTATTAAATTTTTCTTTTTAATAAATTTTTATTTCAAAATTTCTTTTTAATAAATTTTTCTTTTAAAATTTATTAACTTACAAATTTTTTTTCCCAACAATTCTAAACAATTTTTCCAATAATTTGACCAAAAATTCCAATATTTGAATTAAAGTAGCACAAAAACTTTTTTTTTTTTTTTGTTGTTTCCACAATAATTTCAAATTGTTGTTTCCACAATTAGAATTAATTAATTTCTTTTTAATTAATTCGATTAATTTCTTCTAAAATTAATTAATTTCTTTTTAATTAATTTTGATGAATTTTGTTGTTCGGTTGTCGTTTTAGGCTTGAGCCCCCATGTCAAAAGAAATAGGATTCTTGGTTTCTTTTGATTTAAAATTTCTTCTTTTGAAATTTTAGTATAACTTCTTTTAATTAAAATTCCTCTTTCTTGGAATTCTAATGTAAATTCAATTTAATTAAATTTTTAATTTTTATCCAACAAAATAAATTAATTTAAAGCTAAAACAATTTAAAAAATATTGGACGATTAAAAGTGAGAGAGAAGACTTTGATTTTTATTGTAAAAATATAAGAATGAACACCAAAAGGCTGTTTAGTGATTTATTTTATAACAGCAAAAAGGAGATGGAGGTTTTAGTGTAATAGCCATTTTTTATTATAAAATGGAAAGATGAAGAATAAATGGAAGAGGAACAATTTATGAGTAATTGAAACGATAAAAGGGAGCATTAGAAAAATGAATAATAAAATTAAAGATAAATGTTTAAATGTAAGGGGTTTTATGGGAAAATAAAATTTTTATAGATTTTTATCTTTAATTTACACTTTAATCTTCTTCGGTCTTTCGACGTTTTTTCTTCGACATGGCAATAGTCGAAACAATTTTTAGAAAATTCAAAAAATAGATTCTGAGCATAAAAACGAAATAGAAGAAATGAAAGACAAATTTCAAAAATTAATTGATAAATTTCAACAATTAAAAGATGAAAATGATAAAAAAGACGAAAAAATTAATTCTTTGGGAGGAGAAATTAATGAGGTAATTACATATAATTAAATGTTTTAAACAAAGTTTTCCAAATAAAAATGTTTGGTACTTTTCCGTTATCCCTACAGAAAATTTTTCTAGAAAAAAAAATGATTTTATGAAAGAGAAAAGAAAAAAGGATTTTGGGAATATAGATTTTGAACCATCTTTTTTGACTATATTAAAATATACCGTATTTTTCCTAATAGTGCGACCGGTCGGTTTTTTCAACCATCCTCAAGAGGGTCGGTTTAATAGAGCCCTGCCCTTTAGAGCCCTTTATTAGAGCCACTTTTGGTAACTCGGCCCATCTCTGGCATGAGTACCTTCCATAATGTTTCCATTTCATCTTCCCTCCAATGAATTTTTCCACAGCATGCATATTACATAATTAAAAAATTTTAAATAAAAAATTAATTAAACTTTAAATTATTTTATTTACAAAGAAGTTTGCTGGTTTAATCAAATTAAATAATTTAAAGGTACTTATAGGGTTTGTATCCGCCGGAAAAATTTAATTGGTTTTTTGTAAAAATGGTCAGTGTAAAAAATATTTTTTCATTTCATAATTTTAAAAGATTTGCCTGTGGTCACTTTCATTCACTCACTCTTCCTTCAATTCGGCAATTTTCGTTGTTTTTGATTGCCTGCCTCACATTTTGCCCTTCTTATTTGTAAATGACTGAACAAATAAGGTTGGCGGATAGTTGGAAATCTTCGGATATCCGGATCCGGTATCCGAACCGAAATTTTCGGATATCCGGATCCGGATCCGATATCCGAACCGAAAATTTCGGATATCCGGATCCGGAACCGATATCCGAACCGAAATTTTCGGATATCCGGATCCGGAACCGAAATTTTTATTTTCAAAATTTTCGCCTGCGGCGCTGTAAAATTGAGTCCCAATAGATGATAGAGAGGTTAAGAGCTGGGGTCAGGGGTGAGCGCATTGCGTTTTGCGTTTTGCGTTATTTGCGTTAAATTTTGGCCTTGCGTTGCGTTTTGCGTCTTGCGTTTATTTTGATGAAATTAACGCAAAAAATATACCCAATCAGAGGATAAAATTGGAGAAATCTGGCTTATTGACCTTCCAAAATTCTAAAAATTTTCGCCTACGGCGCTAAAAAATGAAGAAATTTTGCTTTCTGGCCTTCCAAAATTCTTAAAATTTTCGCTTGCGGCGCAGAAAATGGAGGAGGGATAAAGTGGCTAAGTGGAAAATATCGGAGGAACTGAAGTGATAGAAGACTATCGGTCGATTTACTGCGATTAAGGTTGATTTAAAAAGATATCGGGGGTTTGTAGGGATATCCTGCTATATCTCTGCAACCCCTGATAACTACTATATGCTCAAATCCCTGTTATTATTCTAATCTGAGGGCAAAAATTGGGAGAAATCTAGCTTCTGCTTTCCAAAATTCTCAAAATTTTTGCCTGCGGCGCTGAAAGCAAGGTATTTAAATACCAATTTTCCATCTTGGAACGGCTCAAAAAATATCGGTCAGTATCTGGAGCTCAGATCTCAAGTTATCCTCCAAATCACCTGATATCCCCGGAATCAAATTATAAATACTGATAGCTCTTTATCCTCTGTTATCTCCCTAACTCACCCGACAGCCTTCAGTAATCCCATGGTATCTTTCTAAATCTCCTTGATCGCTCCAAATTACATGATAATCTCCGTAATCCCCCGCTACTTCGTTAAACCCCTTGATCCTTCTAAATCCTCTGACTTCCTTCATAATCCCTTCAAATCCTTTATCCCTCTCCAAAACATTACCCATCCAAATTACATGTATCACAAACTTAATTAGGACTCGCTGACTTATAGTAATACACCAATTTTAACTGAAAAATGGCTAATACTTAATTTAAAAAATTTTTTTCCCAATTTTGCGTTCTTGCGTTTTGCGTCTTGCGTTATTTGCGTTAAATTTTGGCCTTGCGTTGCGTTTTGCGTCTTGCGTTTTTTGAGATTGTCTCTTGCGCTCACCCCTGGCTGGGGTTGGGAATTACGAGAGATATAGAGGCACTTTTGATTAATTTCCTATATCCGCTCTAATCCCATCATTCTTGATCCCTCTATATGACATCCATATACATCAACATTTCATTAAAGTTGTAAACCCGCATGTGATTTTTACAAATGTTTACAACTCTTCCCCTTTTAGCGCCGCAGGCGGAAATTTTGTTAATTATGATAAGCAAAGGCTCCAGATTTTTTCCCCTTTCTGCGCCGCAGGCGAAAATTTTCTGAATTTTGGAGGTCAAGAAGCCAGATTTCTTCCATTTTTAGCGCCGCAGGCGAAAATTTTGGGAAGTTAGAAAGATCAATGGACTAGATTTCTTCCATTTTTCCCCAATTCTAGGATCCGAACCGAAGATTTCGGATATCCGGATCCGGATCCGATATCCGAACCGAAATTTTCGGATATCCGGATCCGGATCCGATATCCGAACCGAAAATTTCGGATATCCGGATCCGGATCCGGTATCCGAACCGAAAATTTCCGGATATCCGGCCTTTTTTCGGATCCGGATATCCGGATCCGCCAACCTTATGAACAAATTGATGTTTATTTAAATATTTAAAGACTGTTACAAATGAAAAAGTAGGATTATTGAAAGAAGAGTGAGTGAATGAAAGTGACCACAGGCAAATATTTTAAAATTATGGAAGGAAAAAATTTATACACTGACCATTTTTACAAAAAATCAAATAATTTTTTTTTCGGCGGATACAAACCCTATAAGTACCAATTTAAATTATGTATGTGGTTAGTTTATAATTCTAATTAAATTATTAAGGAATTTTTTAAAGGTTTTACTTAAACTTAGAAATAAATGGAGTGAAATTGAACCTATTGGTAATATTTCTGGAAATGGATTTGTAGATATAATTAACGATGAATGTATTAAGTATATTAATTGTTTGGAGGGGAGAGGAGGTAAATTATTATTAAATTTTTTTCTAAATATTTTTAGGTAGTGTTAGAATGTTTGTAGTTCATGCAAAAAATTCATTTGACAAACCACAAAATTGTCTTAATTATTCTTTATTTTATTTTGAAATTAAATGCAAACTTGAAGGATATTTTTTTAATTGGGGAAAGTTGATGCGTATCGGTCTTAAAAATTTGAATACAAATAAATATATTTACTTTACTGCAAAGTATGCTTCAAGTGTAAGTGAGAAAGAAGAATCATTTCACACTCCAACAACTTTTTGGAATGATAATTATATACTTGGTTGTGGATTAGTTTACCCTCCAAATAATAAAATGAATGAATTTCCATACATTTTTCTAACAAAAAATGGAAAACAAATTGGTAAATATTTACTAAAAATTATTTAAAAAAATTATTTTTTAAAGGTAAAGGTATTTTATTAAAAGACAATTTCGAGTCGTATAAACTGTTTGTCACGTTAGAAGGTTGTTCTGTTGAAGCTAATTTTGGAAATAATTTGGAGATTGAACCATTTAAATATGATATTTCGAATCATTTAGTTGTGACTGAATTTTATTGAAAGTTTGTCTTTTTATCTGCTTTTTATGAATTTTAAATATTTTTTTTTCGTTTGATAAATTTTTCCTTGTTTGAAAAATGTTTTTCTACAACAAAATATTTTAATCGGACATTAATGAAAAAAAATGCCTCTTTTATTTCACATTAAAATTTTAAAAAATATTTAATAAATTAAAAATATGTATTAAATGTTCAATTTTATTTAAATCTTACTTAAAATTTTAATATAAGAATCAGATGACTAATCAGTATTGTGTAATCTATACCAGAGTTGCGTCGTAATTGAAAATTTTTTTCGTAATCGTAATTCGTAATTTTAAAAATTTTTTCGTAATCGTAATTCGTAACTGAAAAAACGCCGTAATTCGTAATCGTAATTCGTAATTACGACGCAACCCTGATCTATACTTCCCATAGGCCCGCATATTTTTTCTTTTTTTTCTTATAAGGGGACAACAAGGGGTTTGCGTTTGTTTCAAACGCAACTTGCTTTGTTTGGAAACTGCTTCAGTAACTTGAACCAACTTATGCGCTTTAGTTACTATTACTGGTACTTTATGGATATGTCACCCCCCTCCTATTTTGAGTCTCAGAGTTTTCCTTAAACGTAGAAAATGGTCAGAGATTCCTATTTCCTTCTCCATGTCGATCATTTTTTTCTTCTTCAAATACTTCGCTTGTTTATTTTGCCTTTTCACATATTTTGTACTTACATTTCACTCATTTCGTTTCTACATTTACCACATTTCACTTATTTTGCTTGAAGAAAGAAAAATGATTGACATGGAGAAGAAAATAATCTCTGACCATTTTCTACGTTTAAGGAAAACTCTGAGACTCAAAATAGGAGGGGGTGACATATCCATAAAGTACCGAACATCTGTTTAATTGTGGTTTTGAATATGCCGACTTTAATAAAATTGTATTGAATCCAGAAATGATCAATATATTATTTGATAACGACAGAACAATTTCTCTTAAATTTAACATTCAAAAACTGTCTCTACTGGGTGACCAGAATTATATTGCACACTTTTCATTCCATCATAACTTTTTTTCAGAATTTATATTTTTGGATATTTTTATACCCATTTTGTAGCCCAAACACTACTCCTCAGGGCCTATAAGCCCTGTTCCATTATTGAACTTTTTCCAAGAGGAGAAATATAGAAAATTTTATTAATTTATCAAAACAAACTATTTTTTAAATATTATTTTATTGTAAACATTTTCGATTAAATTTTTTATAAGTTGATGTATTTTGAACATTTTTAGCTGTTTAAAGCCTGCCAATAATGAATTAATAATTCTGACTAGCATTCTCGGTTTTACAAAATTCTTCGGTTAACTAAAACTGCAAATCTTCAGGTTATCGGTGTAATGCGGAAATGGAGTTGTGAAATATTAAACTAACTTTCCCAGCGACCCCTCCTATCCATAAACAATATAATCCTAGGAATAAATATTAGTCAGTCATTAGTCAGTCAGTCAATCGAGTGAATTATTATTATTATAATTATTGCCCGATCGGAGGAATTAGTCGTCGCCCGTTTAAACTCTCTTAAGGTGTGAGCGGTGAATATCTTTCGGCAGGACTAAAAACATTAATTCCCCTCATATTCTATTATTCTGCGCTCCACACTGGGCATGTACTAACTATATTCAGCAAACTTCTTCGCTTTGGTTTGAGACCGACAACTCCAATCTTGATCATAAAATTAAAATTTTTTATTAAACATAAAAAATTAATTCCACTATATTTATTAACAATAAAATAATTTAAAGAAATTTTAATAACCTTTAAATGTTGTAATCTGTAGGCATTAATCATTGAATATTGTAAGGTTGTTGAAGAATGTCTTAAAGAATATTTTTGATATTTGTGAATGTGTTGAAGAAGAAATATGTATGTTAAATTAAATTTGTAAGGTTAAAATTCAAAAGTTTTAATTAACATTTGGAGCTATATTTAATCCAGAAATGATTGAATTATTATTTGAAATTCATAAAATAATAATTCAATCATTTCTGTCTTAAATATAGCTTTGTTAAAGTAATAGGCTGGTTTATTATAGCAAGATAATACCAATCGATTTAAAGTAGCCAAAATTTCTTCATTTTAGGCTGCAGTAGGAAATTTTAAGCTGTCTTTTGAGCTTTTTTGTGATCGACTGCCAGGTATTTTGTGATCAATATCTTAAAAAATATTTAAAATTAGTGTGAAAACAATGTAGTCGAATTGCTTCAGATAAAAAAGAAATAAAAAATACATGTCCGATAATCAACAATTTAAAGTTAAGTATAAATTCATCAATTAATTTTTTTAATTTCAATATCGGAAATTGGCTGATTTTTAATAACATAAATCTTTTCAATATAAACACAAAACTTCATTTCTGGGTTGTATTTATTGGAAAGTTGATATTTTGTAGATTTTAAAGTGAAGTTTTCAACGTTGATATCAATATTTTCTGCTCTGTCACTTAACATAAGACGTCCATAAGACGTCGAGGGAGGGGAATTAATCGTGAAAATACGGTTTATATTTTACCTCGTTTGGGTTCACTTTCCAGTTTAAAATTGTGGACTTGTTCCACTATACAAATAACACTTTCGCTGTCTGCATCATTATTAGCATTTAAAAACAGAGGAATTGAATTTTCCATTGCAAATTTCCACTGAAATTGAGTTTTTTAAATAAAAAAAATTTATTATTAGCCTTCTTCTCTAGTCGTTCACTCAATTGAAAATCATAAACTTTGGGATCCGGTTTAAACAATTTATAATGATTTACAGTCGTTTTAATGGTAGAAATCTAAAGATAAAATGTGCAAAAGATTGATTTAATATAAACAATTACAACTCCAAGTTTATAGAACTCCTTCCTTGCCAACTCTCCCTCATATTTATTAATAAAATTTTTGGAATAAATATTTGTTTGTTGAATATTTAATAATTGACTGAAATTCAGATATTTAAATATATCAAGTTGGACTTCTGGTGGAAGCAAATACATTTTATTAATGCTTTTTAATATGAAACGACAAATAAAATAATAAGTTACACAGAAAAATTAATAAGCCAAAAATATTTAGGCGGTATCTAGCCCATAAGGGCTATTTAAATTTTTTATTGCTCAACTAATGAAGGTGAATAGCTTGGCATCATATTTATCGTTTGTATTAGGAGAAAATATTGCTACTAGGAAAAGCTCTTCCATTTTATTATGCAAACCTAGGGGGGACACAAAAGTTAGGTGGATAACGAAAGCTAAACTCAACAAAAAAGTTATGTTCATTCAGGCCCGTTCCTGATTACCTCTATTTTAAAGTATATCTCAATATATCAGTTATGAAGATGTATCTTTTTGTAAGGTCCAAACTATTTAATTTATATGAACGACCGCCATTAGGTAGGCTTGTCTCTTAAAATTTTGTCTCATTTTTGACCCTCTCTTTTTTCCTCCTGTATTATTTGTCTCACGTTTATAAATTATTTGCTTAAGATAATTAAAATGTATTCTCTACCAATTGAAGTTCAACTAGATATATTGAAATGTCTTGATTTAAATCAATTAGTCTCTTTTAATAAAACAAATTTTTACTTTCGAAATTTAATCAATAAATTTTGGACAAAAATAGCAAGAATGAAATTTGATAAACTCTCAATAATAAACATAAATTGTTTAAGGAATAAGTAAGATCCAGCATGCTATCTCTTAAAACGCTTACTAGGAAGGGATTTAAGGTACCGTATTTACTCAAACAATTATTCCGGTTTAGTATTATTTCAATCATTCGCTGCAAAGAGCAATTAGTAGAGACTGGGTAATTATTTGAGAGAGGGTAATTAGCCGAGTGAATAAAAAAGTTTAAAGAATTGTTTAGGCAGCACCTACGAAGTGGTGAGCGAAGCCTGCTAGGTGCATTCGCTTGATTGCTACTAGTTATTACGTTTTAATTAATTTATTTTAATTTATTTATTACTAGATAAAATTATAGAACTCGAAAATGGAGTATTTACATTTACTTTGAATGATCATCTAATCAAGGTTATATATATTTCTTGTTAATTAAAATTTAATAACAATTAATTAAATTAATTAATTTTTCAGTGGCAAATAGCGATAGATAAATCGATTCCTTTGTTTTTACATGATCCAAGATCTAACAAAAAATTTGCTATTTGTTTTATGAGAAAAGTATTTTCGACTAAAACTAAATTGTATTACTTAAAATTGCCCAACTTTCCAAAAAATATATCAGAAATGATTACTATTCGATGTTGGTTAGAACATCTGGTACTTTATGGATATGTCACCCCCTCCTATTTTGAGTCTCAGAGTTTTCCTTAAACGTAGAAAATGGTCAGAGATTATTTTCTTCTCCATGTCAATCATTTTTCTTTTTCAAGCAAAACAAGTGAAATGTGGTAAATGTAGAAACGAAATGAGTGAAATGTAAGTACAAAATATGTGAAAAGGCAAAATAAACAAGCAAAATACTTGAAGAAGAAAAAAATGATTGACATGGAGAAGAAAATAATCTCTGACCATTTTCTACGTTTAAGGAAAACTCTGAGACTCAAAATAGGAGGGGGTGACATATCCATAAAGTACCCTATTACTTGTATTTTTGTCATGAATAAATGTTTTTTGACTTTTTTAGTTGTTAGGGTAACTTTATTATCTGTTAACTAAATTTCTATTTTTTGGTCCAAAAATTTTCAAATTTTTTTGTGCCAATCGTCGAGCTCTTTCAAATAGCAAATCATTCGTCGAAATTGGTCCAGAAAAAAAGTAATAGAACCACTATTTAAAAATAAAAAAACAGAAATAAATAATAAACAAGGAAATAATAATGTAAAAAATATTTTGTCATAAAAAATATATTTCTGGAAATAAAAATAAAACAACCATGAAAAATTAAAATATTATTTATTTAATGTAAAAATTAAAAATTTTAAATGAAAAAATCAGAATATTAAGAGCAATTCAATAAC